CGGGGGTGAGCCCCAGCTCCGCTGCTTGTGACACTCAAGGAGGCCACAGAACCTCAAGCAAGAATCCTAACCTGTCTGGGCTTCACCTGTAAAATAGACAAAGTGAGAGCAAGCATCCAAATCCATTGCTACGGAGCCAATTCCGACATAGAGGAACCTCTCCCCCAAGGCCGAGTAGCATGGCTCTCCTGCCACCGGCTTTGTGGAAGCAGACCGCCTCATCTGTGGCACCACTTGCATTCCGGCTAGCAGCCAAGCGCCTTACCCTCTGTGCCACCAGGGCTCCCTGGGGAAAACAACAGTACTGACTTTATAGAGCTATTATGAAGAGGAAATGAAATTACAGTTGTAAAGAGCTTAGAACTGGCCTGGCACATGTTAGTAGTAAATGCTCAATAAGTGATCCTATTTATCACATCTATTATATTTTGTAGGCTTCCATAATGATATCAGAAAATCTTTCATGGCCGGCTCGTAATGCTGAGTTTGAGACTGAGCACTAAAAGGGGAAAAAACCCAGAAACCCATGGAAACGGCCAAAAGACGGGTGGTTGCCAGATGTCCGAAGGGCTGGCATGGGGGAAGTTGGGAAGAAAGTAACAGATAGGCCCCGGGCATTTTTAGGGGACTGATATATCTCTGTACGATACTTTCATGACAGAGAAACAACCTTATGCATTTGCCAAAACCAAACAGGAAAAGCGGAGCCTAATGGAAACCATGGGCTTCGATGGAGAATCAAATCAATATCAATATCCATCCATCAATGGCAGCAAGGGTACCTCTCGGACACAAGTCACCAATAAGAGCAGGACTAGTGTGAGGGTGGGGGGCGGGGCGGGGGCACAGGGAGACTCTCTGTACTTCCTGCCTCATTTCTCTGTAAACCAAAAACTGCTCTCTAAAGCAAGTCTATTAGAAAATAATTACAGATATATTAAGATCCTAATTTTGTCTTATTAAAATATGTAAAAATAGCCAGCTAGCTTGATCTAAGCAAAGGAAAAAAAAAAAGCCAGAGGAGTGCATCAACATTTTAATAATCTTTTCTCCCACCTGTCTATACCTTTGTACATTTCCCATGTTTTCTATAAGGAGCACAGCGATTGCACTGACCAGCAGGAGAGAGACCCGCACGCACGCAGCAGGGGGTCATCGGGCTCAGACTGGAAGGTGGTGGGGTTCTGGTTCATCAGTGCAGGCACATCTCGACTCCGCCCATCTTCCAGCCTCTAAGGCCCAGCCGTTGCTCCTAGATTGTCAACCTCCAAGGAGCCATCGAAGGAGAGGAGCTTGCCTGTGTGCCTCTCAACACTGATTATCCCAGGCAGTAAATGACCAGGCCAAGTTCATGTGGCATGCCTATGACACCTAGGCATCTGGACACCTGGTCACTGCACCCAGGGAGCTTCTCCGATCTTCAGAGTCTGTATTTGGGATACGTTCATTCCCACGTTGGTGTCTCATCCAATCAGCGCAATGACCATGGCTTCGTGGATGAGGTCTTTCTGGCATGCGCTGCAGTGAGGCTGGATGCTATGCCACGAGTAGTTCAAACACTAACAAGGCCGCTGACAGTGGGCAGGTGTCAGTGGAGCTTCCAGACTAAGTCAGACTAGGGAGAAGGTCTGGGATCTGCTTCTGGTAATCAGGTAAGGTAAATGCCATCGATCCTCGAGCGGAAAACCCTTAAAATGCACGCGTAGTCCTAACCACGGACGAGAGCAGACCAGGATCGCGAGGATGGTGCAGGATGGGGCAGTAGCTTGTTCTGCCAAAGCGGACTCAACAGTGACAAAAAAACCAGTACCTGGTGCACAAAGTCATTCAATAAATGTACCCGGTGCCCCTCCCATTTGTTTTCTCCCTCTCCCCACCTCGCGTAGTGCCCTGCCCTTTTGGACTCTTGCAGCCACCTACTTCCTGCTGTGCCACAACGCCGGCCTGACCTCAGTGACACTGCCGCTTTCCCTCCTCTGCAGCAGGGAAGGCGACACAGAGAGATGGCCCGGCCTCCTCTCAAGCACACCTGGAAACACGCCCTTCTATTGGCCACTGGCGTGCTGATGAAGGTCACCATGACTCCCTCATCCCAACCACACAACCGGCCAAGAACACAAGGGGACATTCTAAAAGCCACACCACCACCTGGCAGGCTTGTCACTCGAGCAGAAAACTGGCATTTCCTTAAGCCAATCTCACCTTGGACACGCCTAGTGGTTGCATGTCTGGGGAACCAGGACAGGGAAGTCTCCAATCACCCATCTCCTTCCAAGGGCTCAGTAATGGGAGTCCCCACGGCAGGGGGACGACACTGTAGAAAAGCCCTCCCTCCTTGGCAAGGTCACAGTGCTAGGGAGGATGCTGCCCTTCCCTTCACGATCCAAAACAGACTGCTTCTCCTGCGGCTCAGGACCTGGGAGCTGGGGGATCAATCTCGTGGACGGCTCCATGCCCTGTGTTGAATGCCATGGCTATGCCTTCCCGAGATGGGACTCTTATCTCTGATCATTTCACGGCGGCGTAGACCGTTTCACATCTTGAGACCAGAACCTTTTCAGTCTCCATGCAAGTGACTCCACCACACCCCATGGTGACATTCTGCAGCAAGGCCACGCTTCAAATCCAAATAACTGTGACAATGGACCTGGCTCTACCAGCATGCAGCGCTCTTGAGATGAGAATACGCAGACCTCAGTTGAGAGGCAGAGCCACAGAGGCCCTTTGGCGGCGAGCTCAGGCAGTAAGGAGACAGGGTGGATCCCTCTCAAGTCCCTGGAGACCAGGAGAGGGAACAGGGAAGGGGTGGAGGGTGGCGCTTACCAGAGGGAGGACCCTTCCGTCCCCGTGACTTCCAGAAAGTCATAACCGTCCTCCAGCTGGAAGTCATTAAAGACCAGGGCGATGGTGTCTCCCAGCTCCGCCAGGATGGTCCAGGTGCAGTCGGCGTTGTTGTGGTACTCCGAGGGGAAGTGGGGGCTGGAGATGATGCCACTCTGGCCCCGCAGGGTCCCACCACAAGCATCGTCCGCTGTGGGCACAGAGAAAAGAAGCTCCTGTGAATGGTCCTGTTGCCAGGCCTGGGCACACTGGCCTTCACCCATGGGAGCTAGATTAGAGAGGGTCCCGGGACACGGCACAGACGGGGGTGGGTGGGTGGGTGGGGAGATGTTGGCCTGAAGATAACACAGGCCAACGAGAACATTTTTTCTTCTCGGTGTCTTGGTTTTTAGGCCTGTTTCGGGGATTATTGGAGGTGCTGATCCAGAAAATTGCATTGGCTAGATCCCATCAGCCCTAGTTTCTTAGATATGGTATTCCATTATAGCTTCAGCCATGAGGTTATGCTAATTTGCAAATTTATCGTGCTAGTTATAAATATGAGAAGAGTTCAGATCCACAAATTACAGGATAAGACCCCCCAAAAATTAGGTGAGACATATTTGGGAAAGAATGCTGCATTAAGGGACTCCCAAGGGAAGCTGTATATGAACCCACGGTGGCTAGTTGGTTACACATTGAGCTGCCAATCATAAGGCCAGTGGTTCAAATCCACCAGTCACTCCACAGACTCTAAAATATTTATAGGTTTGGAAACCCAAAGGGGCAGTTCTTCTGTGTCCAACAGGATTAGTAAGGATTAGATGGTTTTTCTTTTGCGTCTGGGAGGCTGTGCAATATAATATGCACAGAGACTGCAAGTCGGCCCTGCAAAGCCAGAACACGGCTCGAGAAGAGGGGACCATGGAGAGGAAACTGAAAAGGCACATGGAGGAGAGGCAGGAGGGCATTGAGAGCGTCGAAAACATTAGACTGCAGAGCACTGTTCGTAGATATTCTGACGATCTAAATTTTTCTTCTTCAAATTATGCAGTAAGCATTTCAGAACAAACTTTAAGATATAGAAGTCAACGGATAATTCATGTTTAAAGGAGAGGTTGACTCCAAGTTTCCTATAAGAAACATTCTAACTTTTAGGAGTTTCTGTGTACAGGTGGAGAGGTTGTATATATAACAATGACGTTGCATTATAACAATGACTGGAACATTTTCATTTTAATAGATGAGTTTGAACTCTGACCTGTTTTGAGCTTCACAACACTTGAATCTCTATTGATTATACCACACTCACACTACTAGTCAGTTGATTACAACTCAGAGGAACACTGCAGGACAGAGTGAAACTTCTGTGGGTTCCTGAGGCTGTCAGTCTTGATGGGAACAGAAAATCTCATTTTCTCATACAGGGTGGTTGATGGGCTCAAACAGCTGACTCGGCGGTTAGTTGTCAAACACACAACCCACAACATCATTAGGGCTCCTTATGTATTGTACAGAAACTCTTACTTCTGCCCCCCTTTTAAAAATAACAAAATCAAACTGCCTGCTATCCAATTCCTAATAAAGGTGAAGTGATATTTGGGAAAATTCCAAGTTCATGTAATTTGCGCTGTTCAAAAATAGATCTTTGGATCAAAGGACACCATACCACTTGACCTAAATATTTAGTGCAACACAGACTACTTGAGATAAAGCCAGCATTCCTCGGGTTCAGAGTAGCTAGCAGTACGTTAACATATCCTGAATGTTTTATGGGCAAGCAGAATAAGCAGAATGAAGAGCGCTGTGTGGCATATGTGCCAGATCTCAAAAGCTAGAGCTGATAGAAAGAAAGCTGGGACCATGTTTTGAATCAGCAGGTCAAGTATACCCACAGAGAAGTTTAACATGTGAGCCACTAACATTTGTGTTGGACAGTATCGCCAAGTTGAATACCTACAGAATCCCTGAGTGTTGCACTTAGGTAACACACTGGGTGCCAACCCACAGGGTGGTTTCAAGTCCACCCAGAGGGCTTCGGAAGAAAGTCCTGATGAACGACATCCACGAAATACCAGCCCCTGAGATCTCTATGGAGCACGGCTCCACTCTGGCACGCATGGGGTTAGCGGGAGTGAGAACTGGCTCAACAGCAAATGTGGTTTTTGCTAGTCTGTTCTGTTGATTTACCATGTTGGGAGAACTGAGAGAATCTTGTGAACGGATGAGGAAAGGCAGCGAAGGGGAGGGTAAGTTCCCGGAGCTGGGGCAGGAGGCTAAGCAGTGGCAGAGCTGCAGGTGGAGTTCTGGGCCTAGAGAGTACTGCTCCTTGATGACCAAGAAGGGAGGAGAACTCAGCTGGCACCTCTACTGCCACTGTCACACGACAGTGAACGGGCACTTTCTGCCCACGAGATCTTTCTAAACCTCAGACGTGCTTAAGCACGAAGGCCCAACACAATTCCAGGGGCACAACCCAAAGGGCATTCCCAGTCCCCGACCGCTACAACCCTTCCTCCTGCCCACTGTCCTACCCCCGAGAAGCTCTAATGCTGTACATCGTTGGTCCACCCATCTTGGGCGCACACTGCCCCCTCTGCCAAGTGTGTCCTTTATCCATCGGCACTCATCTCATGTGTCAAGCCTCAACTCCAAAGCCATTATCTTAGAAAGGTTTGACTTCCCCAAGTTCTCTCCCCTGCACTCTGGCAGCAGTCCGTCTGTCCCTCTTCACTCCTGGTCCTTGGTGCCATGTTGGAACATGCCCACATGCCTGTCTTCCTGCTCCCAGGTTCTGAGTTCCACAGCACAGGAAATCCCAAGGGCAGGGACCATGGTTTTCGTGCCCCACAGCCTACCCTCGAACATACTTGCTGCTGCGCACAGCCTAAGCCCCAGCTGACATTTGACATTGAGGGTAAAGAAAGAAAGAAAGAAATGCTCTTGCATAAACCAGTTAAAAGCACTAGCTTTGAAATTCTCAAATGGTGGACCTCAATGGGAAGCCTTCTCCTGCTATTGATGAACTGGGTGACCTAGGGGAAGTTATCTGAGCTTTCTAAGCTCACCCTTCGGAAGTCTCTATTCAAGGGAGTCATTATTATACAAGGGTTACTCGCTGGGCTGCCAACTGAAAGGCTGACAGCAGAAAACCCACCCAGCAGACTCTTCAGTGACAAGAGTTGATAGTCTGTTCCCCTAAAGATGACAGCCTTGTAAACCCAAGGGGGTGACTCTATTGTGTCATAAGAGGTCACTTGTTACCAGTCAGAGTCAACGTGGTGGCACCGGCAACCATGATAATTACAGTTGTAAACAATAACTATAGTCAATGATACTGTAGGCAACATTTATGATAAACTGCGGCATATGCTACATGAGAGATGGAGACCACATTTCAGTAGAGTCTGCCCATTTCATTTCCTCCTGCTTACAACCCCCCAAGAGGCACCACCCCATTTTACAGGAGAGAAAACCAGGGCAGGAGAGATTCAGGCAGCCACCTGCCAAAGGGAACACAGCTCACGGTGATGAAAAGACCTGGCATTCTAAGCCCAACAGCCTGGTTCTGGGCTCTGTGCTTGGACCCCATACACACTTCTGCCTCCCGGGAGTACAATTTGCAATGCAAGGACACAAGCAAAGAGCACATCACTTTGCCTGGGTTGGTCAGTTTGGGAAGGCTATGCAGAGGAGGTGCCATTAAGGTTGTGCTGTGAAGGATGGATAGGAGTTCGCTAGCTCGAGAAGAAAGGAAGGGCATTTGAAGGCACAGAGAGCGATCGACCCGGCGCAAGCCAAGAGGAGTGCGAGGGAAAGGCGTGTGTAGGACAAAGGGCTCGAGGTAATGGAAGCCAACAGAACGGGTACAGAGGAAACGGGAAGGAGTCCCAGAGGAGAGAAGAAATCAGCCAATGAGATGTGGAAACAGCAGCGTATTGGCAACAAGATGGGCTCTAGTGTCAAGAAGGCCTAGATTTGAATTTAGGTTCCACAACTTCCCATGCACCTGGCTGGGGTGAAGTTATTTCTCTAAGCCCCAGTTTTCGTCTCTGTAAAATGATTTGCTGGGATAACTCAGCAAGCTCGTTCCTGTGGTGGCACCTAGCGTCACCGAAGCCCAGTGACGCCAAGGCTCTCCTTTCGCTTCCATTTTGTCTCGTTTGTTTTCTTCTGTGACCCTTTCTTGTCGTTCTCCTTGGTTTGCTTTCCTCTCCCACCCTCCCTGTTTCCCGCCCTGGCCCTCTCCACTCACCCCACCCCAGGCCTCACCACCGCCTTCAAAGTCTGCTTTGTTTGGCCGTGAAACCCATCTTTCCTTTTATTTCCCCTTTATAAGAAGGGTGTCATGGAGTACAGATCTCCACGAGACAGAGCAACTTTGATGAGCACAATGTCTTCCAAATCTGTCCATGCTGAGAGGTGTTTGATAGTTTCCTGATTGCTTTTTAGAGATGCATAATATTTCATTGTGGGTTGGTACCCGAATTCATCTATCCATTCATCCACAGTCAGACAGGCTTGGGGCTGCTCCCATCTCTTTGCGATCAGAGGAAGCATGACAGCAGACATGGGTGTGCGCATGTCCCTCCACTGCATCCCGCAGATGAAAGGTCGTGAAGGAACGTGACTAACCCGGCATCCGACAAAGATCGCTCGGGCAGAGGCACAAAGGAGGTCGGAGTCAGGGAAGCAGGAAGGATGCTCTGGTTATAATCTGCAGTCACCAAGACCAGGTGGGCCAGACTAGGACCAAACTAAGGCTGTGGGGTTGTGAGATATGTAGGACATAGAATCTATAATAGGGTTGACACCTGGGAGGGGTTCATTCCAAGTGGGAGGCATGAATTCCAAGTAGGGGGCATAGCTTTTGGGTGGAAGCAAATTTTCATTTATTGAGCTAGGTAACCCATGAGAGGAGCTCCTGGTGAATGGAGGGCCACCAGGAGCTGTGTTTTGGGGAGCCAGAGCTGGGTGTGTCTGTGGAACACCCAAGCGGAGAGATCGTGTAGGCAGCTGGATATCCAGGAGCGATCTGAGCTGGAGATAGTGTTGAACTTACTCAGGAGCCCTGGATTCTTCTTGTTAATGTCATCCTGCAGCCGACGTCTATTTCAAGAGAAGGATGAACCTATTTCTAAATGCCAACCTCCATCTCTATAAGCACAGAGATGGAAGGGCTTCCTTCACCCAGGTAGGTACTCATGAAGA